AAAATACTCACTTGCTGCTTGAAATATCGTCTCTCCTCTTCATCCACCAGCACGAGATTCAGGTAATATTTGACGGAGAACTTCTTGTTGATGTCCCTCATGGAAGGACTCAAGTCGTATCCCGCCAGGAACAACCGGATCGGAATGCTTTCTCCTCTCACAGGTGCCCCTGGCAAGTAGAAAGAAAGAGAAAAAAAAGGGGGTTAAAATATTGAAACATTCAATGCGTACATTCCGAAATAAAATAAAAATCATTACAGTTGTAAAATATGTGTGAAAAGTGCTAAAAACGCAGCAAAAATTTCGACTTCATCACAAACTATCTGTGAATCTCAAGAGATTGTACATGACGAAATACAATTTCCAGAGAAATGAAATTACCGCATTTAATAAAGTACCGAATTCACCTTTTTCTTCTCAAAACTGAGAGGGGAAAAAAGGGAGTGGGCATCGTAAAGGGGGTGCCGCATACATTTTTAAAAACGTTGCATAAGGTGATTATCACAATTGATTCTAATGGGAATTTTCTCATCAATCTCGAAAGAAAAACTTCTTGTAATGAAAGCAATTGAAAAGTATGGTAGTTGGATTCAGGTTCAACTCATGTCCGAACACTGATTGTTCTCATTTTTTTAATATTGCAATTTTGGAATCATTGAAAATCGGGGAGCGTATTTCTCAGGGATACAATTTTCAGCAAAAATTTTCACTGAAAAACCCTGGTGCGCGTCTTATTCAAGAACGAGTGGTACTCAATTAAATAAGGTCAGAGGCATTCCCAACATCAGTTAAAATGAACGCCTCACAAGAATCTGATCATTTCGGGCATTCTCCAGTTTAATTTTAAGTCTAATTTGATGAAGAGCAAAAATTTTCCTCCACGGCAGCGAGTACGACTTTGAAAATTCTGCTCCTGTATATCCTATCATTTCTTCAAATTTTACAAGGACACAACATTTTCTGCATTTTTCACTGGTTTGGCAGAAAGAATCACACAGCGTATTTACCATCCATTATTTCGTATTTGGTTATGGTCTCGTTCTCGTTGAAC